CAGAAATTCTTTTTGTTGTTGTTTTGAGATGGTGTTTTTCTCTGTGTAGCCCTAGCTGTCCTAGAACTCACTTTGTAGACCAGGCTGGTCTTGAACTCACAGAGATCCTCCTGCCTCTGCCTCCCAAGTGCTGGAATTAAATATGTGTGCCACCATACATATATATTTAAGGTATTATATAATCTATGGAGGGACTAGAGAGCATGCTTGCCTGGAATACATAAAAATGCTTGGTTCAGTCCCCAGCACTGAGGCACACAGCGGCACTCCAGAGGTGGTAGCTGGTGGATTAGCAGTTCAAGGCCATCCTTGACTATATTTTAAATTCAAGTCCCACCTGGGCTACATGAGACCCTGTCCAAAAAAGAAATGCTGACTTAAGCTTAAGGAGATTTATTTATATGCATCTTCCGATATGGAAATCTGATTTATGGAACTGTGTTCTGTAATAGGAACTTTGGTTATAAAGTTTAAATGTATTGTATAGATCAGGCCAAAAGGAAACAAGTGGAAATCAAAAGTCCGTGCCTCGCTGGGAATGGCAGTGTGCTCCTACAGTCCCTGAACTCAGGCAGCTGCGGCAGAGGCACGGGTTTGAGGCCAGCCTCGGGTGCACAGCAAGATGCTGTCTCAAAAACAAAATGACCACAGAGAGCAGACGCCGTGTCTTACTTCATTTAGATCTTTGAAGATGGCAGCCTGAGCCACTTTATCGACGGAAAGGGCTCCGGGAACTGGATGTCCTATGTCAACTGTGCCCGCTTCCCCAAGGAGCAGAACCTGGTTGCAGTGCAACACCAAGGGCAGATATTTTATGAGAGCTGCAAAGAGATCCACCAGAACCAGGAGCTGCTGGTGTGGTACGGAAACTGCTACGAGAAGTTTCTGGAAATTCCCATGAGCCTCCAGGTCACTGAGCAAGGCAAGCAGGTGTCTGAGCCCTCTGAGGGTGAGTGTCTTCCTCTGTCCAAAGAGATTCTGCTAGTGTAAGAACTGGGTTCTTTCCCTAAAGATTCCCAGCCGAAATCGAGGAGACCAAGTAAAGGGGATTTGTAAGAATGAGACCCCACTCAGTAGAGGTGGGACATCGCCATCTCTCTACAGTTATCTATCTCCCCAATCCCCATCCTTTCTTGAGAATAAAAGTAAAATAAATGAATATGTGCCGGTGTACTGTGAGTAAGCCAGCTTTCTCAAATGGTGGGCTGCAGTAACTTAGTAGGGTAGAAAATCAATTTAGTGATTGAGAGCAGCATTAAAGAAAAAAAAAGAAATTAGAATAGAAAAATATTGATGAAAATCACTTAAGAAATACTAAGCGTTGTTAAGCTTTTGTTTTATATAAGTACATTATGTGAAGCAGGGTGTCCAGTTAAAACTGTGTTTTCCTTAGGCTGAGGCCTCCTGCATCCTATATAAATACTCTATGATTAAGAGTTACAGCCGGGCGGTGGTGGTGCACGCCTTTAATCCCAGCACTCGGGAGGCAGAGACAGGCGGATCTCTGTGAGTTCGAGGCCAGCCTGGGCTACCAAGTGAGTTCCAGGACAGGCGCAAAGCTACACAGAGAAACCCTGTCTCAAAAAAAAAAACAAAAAACAAAAAACAAAACAAAACAAAACAAAACA